GTCTGGGGCTGGGGGTGGCCGTCTGGGGCTGGGGGTGGCCGTCTGGGAGTGGGGGTGGCCGTCTGGGGCTGGGGGTGGCCGTCTGGGGCTGGTAGTGGCCGTCTGGGAGTGGCCATCTGGGGCTGGGAGTGGCCGTCTGGGGCTGGGAGTGGCTGTCTGGGGCTGGGAGGGCTGGCCAGGTTGTGAGTAAAAGACTTTGTGTCCCCCATCTGCTCCTTGGCCTCCCCAGGCCTAGGGGATTTAGGGAAGTGGTTCTCACGGTTCTCACTTCCCAAGAGGAGGCCTTTACTGAGAGGCCTTGAGTGTGCCCAGTCACCAGTGTGGGGGTTCTGTGGGAGTCTAAGGCCATGCCTGGACACGTGTGGGCATCAGGATTTGACAGTGGCAGGGCTGGAATGTGGCAGCTCGTGTCTCCACCCAGCACACACTGCCAGCCTGGCACCCCTCCTCCTGTCAGGACAGATTGTCATTCTGAGTGGTGACCTGTCTCTGCCAGGCCTGAGGTATACCTCTGCTGGCATCGCCAGGTCCCCTGGCACTAACCCAGCTTCTGCTGTCACTGGCCTCCGAGTTCTCCACCTGCAGCCCCAGCCCCCACACCCTCAGAGCCTGGGTCCCTGCAGCTGTTCCTTGGGAGGGTAGGCCGGGTCCCTGCCCCTGCCAGTCCAGAGCAGTGCACAGGGGTAGACTCTGGGCCTCTGAAGTGTGTTGCTTTCCGTTGCAACCCTTGCCTGAATCACAGTTACGCAGCGGTGTAAAATGCTGTGTTTCCATCTGTGATTCCATCGCATGGCCCCGTGCACGCTCTGCAGAGGGCGGCGCCCTGCCCCGCTGCCCCGCTGCCCCGCTGCCCCGCCCGCCGTCTCTCTCTCTCCACCAGCATCACCGGGTGGCTGCGGCGCATCCTGGGGCCGTCACAAAGCACCGCAAACAGGGTGCCTGCACCAGCAGACGCTTCTGGTCTCACAGTTCTGGGGATCTGGCAACGGGTGCGGGCCTGTTCCCCGGGAAGCTGCTGGAGGGAACAGTCTGGCCACGCTCTGTGGCTCTTCTCCAGTTTACGCCGCCTTTCCTCTGCATGTCTGCTGCCGTTCACTTCCCGTTTTCGTAAAGACGCCAGTCACTGGAGTAGCCCCCACCCCCAAAACTACCTTGGCCTAACTGGTCATCTGCAAAGACCCTATTTCCAAGTCACGTCACATCCACAGGTGCAGGGCTTGGGCTTGGACCTGTGTGTGGGATGATTCAACCCTCAGCACCTGGCTACTTACTTCATGCCTTCTGAATCCGTTCCCTCCATTCTCCCTTCCGCCTGAGGCTCGGCCTTGTTTCGGCTCTGTGTTCCCGCCGTGTCTGCCTCTGAGCTGTCACCTGCTCTCTGGTAGGTGAACCCTCTGTGGTCCCCCTGTACCCGCACTGCACACCTGGACCTCTGTTTCTCAAGGAGCCCCAGCCCGGCCCTCGGTGGCCTAGCCCTCCTCCATGCTGCCCCTCCCTCTGGCCGGCACTGAGCTCAGGATGGGTCCCTGGCTACACTCAGCGACCCCTCAGGTCCCTGGGCCAGCAGCATGTGGCCTTGCATTGTGGCCACTGGAGGGTGCCCACGCTATGTGGCACCTGCAGAGACCGGGTGTGTCTGAGAAGTGACCGCCCAGGCCCAGTGGCTGCAGCCCCTGACCCCAGGGGAGGTCAGAGTCCAGGTCAGGATCAGAATCAGGGTGAGGGACGCTGTGTTGTGGAGACCAGGGAAGAAATGGAATAAAGACCCCTGGTTAGGCAGACATTTGACTGCCAGGCGCGGCCTGCTGTCCAGCAGCCTCATGCATGGACCCTTCCGGAGCACGCAGTGGTGCAGGCGCCCACATATGTTCTTCTGCAGAGGGAAACAGGCTCCACTGTCGCTGCTGCATCCACAGGGCCCATTGCGTGGAAGGGGTTGGAATCTGTGTAGCTGTTTAATCTGGAGAAATCTCTTCCCAGCAAAGTCCTGTGGCCCAGAGCGGCACGGGCTTGGCAGCACAGCAGGAAGTTCGCCAGCACTGAGTGGTGCTGTGCCTTCGGCCACACGTGTCAGCTTCGAGTCCCATGGGGATTGACAGGACGGCAAGACTTGGCCGCGCTGGGCACCAGGAGCAGGGGCTGTGGCTTGCTCTGCGCCCCCTCGCTTCCAGCCTGCAGAACTGGGCGGGGAAAGGTTAACAAAGGGCGCGGGGCGTGTGTCCTGGGCTGGCGCGGCTGCACTGTTTATTTACAAAATACAGATTGTTGCTAGGGGAGGTTCCGGCGTAGCTGCAGTGCTCATGACAGCTTGAGCCCAAAACTTCCAGAGGGCAGGCAGTTTGCATGATGAAAGGGAGACGTGTACGCTGCTTCTTTTGCTTCTGATTGCTCACTGGAACATGAAACACCACCGGGATACCGGGATAAAATTAAATGTGAAAGTAAAGGCAGAGAAAGTTGAGAACAGGGTGCCTGTGTCACCTCCGTCCCGGGCTCCCCGCCAGCTCAGGGAGGGTTACCCAGGTGGGTGAAGGGCAGTGGCTAGCTAGGTCAGCCTGGGCAAAACGTGGCCAACTTAAGGTCACCAGCATCATTCCTGTGGGTGACGGGTGTCCCGGGAGGACGACCCAAGCTCACACGCAGAGCGTGGACCTCACTGGCCAACGCGCAGCTGAGGAACAGCGGAGCACCGCAGCGTGCGGTGAAAGATCTGCTTCAACCCGGTTCTGGTGCAAAAAGCTTTGTGTCCCAGGGAACTGTCTGGGGGAGTCGCTGCCCCAGAATCTCTAGGGGTATTCTGGCAGCTGAACGCTTTTGTCCCTGGGCAGATGCCTTCAGGGCGGCTCCCTGGCCCCGGCGCCTCCAGGTTTGGGAACCGGCTCTGGGACGGGCTCGGACAGCTCCTCGGGGTTTGCCTGGCAGGGTCAGGCTCAGGACAGCCCTGAGCTCCTCCACATGGGGGTCACCGGGTCCTGGTTAGGGCCACTCTGTCCCCAGGCTGTCTGCTCGTGGTCCCCTGCACCGTCTCCCTGGCGGTGGGCTTGTGTGTGTGATGCCTGGAGGGGTGAGGCTGCTGCTGAGGGCCTGGGTGGGTCTCCTCAGCCTGAGCTTCACCTGCTGCCCAGGCAGAGGCCCCGCCTGGCCCCACCCTCCCCGCCTGCCGGTTTCCAGTGAAGGAAGTGCTGCTCCAGCTCCACAGAGGAAGGGGCTGCCCCCCGGCCACTGCACAGCTTCCTGCCCCGTCTCATTGTCCTCAGCTGCCACCCACTAGCCTCCCAAGGCTCTGGATGTGCTCCCCGTTGCCCCAGCAACCACACAAACAGTGCTGCGTCCCCGGCTCAGCATGCAGGGAGCGGGTGCAGGAGACAGCGGCCAGGAGGCAGGCTTGGTCACGTCGCTGTCACCAGCTGTAGTGAGCCCTGCGCCTGGCCCCACTGACCTACACCCTTGACGGCCCCTGCAGCCTCACTCCCCAGCCAGGCGGGCCCACTGCAGCCCTCTCCTCTAGCATGCTGGGATCAGAGTGGCCACTGCAGGCGTCCGATCAGTCCTGGCCCCATGTGAGTCCCCCAAGGCCTGGCTGGCCCCCCGCGCCACCGTCCAGCTCCGCCTCGCCCCAGCCTGGGCAGCAGCTCCCCAGTCCCATCCTTTTGACATCCAGATTGTTCTTGTCTGTCTTCCTTGTGGCCAAGTCTGCGCCCTCGGAGCCTCATCCCCAACTCATGTCCGCAAGCACCGGGGCCTGGGGCCACATGGGTGCCTGGAAGATGCAGGGTGTGCGGCCCGCCCGCCGAGGCCTTCGGCACCTGTGTTTGGGTTTCAGTCGGAAGCAGCTTCACCCTTAGGCTTCCTGGACATTGCAGCGTATTTCTTACGGGACCCTTGTCAGGGAAGGGCCACTGCACAGAAACCCCAGCCCCTTGCCCCAAGGTGGTTCCAGGAAGAGGCTGAGTGTGATCCCAGCACCGTGGAGCTGTCCAGAGAGGGGCTGGGTTGGGAGGGATGGAGCCCCTGGCCCGGCACAGGACCCACCCTGCTGGCAGCCTTCCTTCTACTGAAATCCCTGCAGGGTCTTTTGCCCCTGGTGCCAAGGAGGACAGCACTGTGTCCCGAGGGCAGGTGGCCTGCGTCTCTATGCCAAACTCAGGCCACACTGTGAGGGCTGCTGGGTCGCCCTGCGGAGCTGTCCGTCAACCCTGAACTCCTGGCTGGAAGGCAGCCCAGGGGCCAGGCAGGGTGATGGGAGGCCCCGTGCTCCACCCCATCTGTTTGGTTGCCATGGGGAGGCTGTGTTGGTCCCAGGGCAAGAGGAGGAGAAAGCCAGGCTCTGAGGGTGGGAGCGGACGTCCCAGTCATGGGAGCCAGCTTCTGCTGGATCCAGGGGACAAAGGCGTTCTCCCCAGGGACCCTGCAGCCAGGCTCCGAGCCACGGGGCCCAAGATAGAGGCCCAGGGTCCCTGAGTGAGTTATCTGGGGTCCTTGAAAGAGTCTGGGGGGTCCTTAAGAGAGTCTGGGGGTTCCTGAGCAGGTTGGGGGTCCCTTAGCAAGTCTGGAGCCCCTGAGAGAGTCTAGGGGGCCCTGAGTCTGGGTCCCTGATGAGTCTTCAAGGGGCCTTAAGTGAGCAATCTGAGGTCTAGAGGGAGTCTGGGGGTGTTCCCCGAGTGAGCTGTCTGGGGTCTAGAGGGAGTCTGGGGGGTCCCTGAGCGAGCCGTCTGGAGTCCTGAGGGAGTCTGGGGGGGCTCCCTGAGTGAGACGTCTGGGGTCTAGAGGGAGTCTGGGGTCTAGAGGGAGTCTGGGGGGGTCCCTGAGTGAGCCGTCTGGGGTCCTGAGGGAGTCTGTGGGGGTCCCTGAGTGAGCCATCTGGGGTCTAGAGGGAGTCTGGGGGTGTCCCTGAGTGAGCCGTCTGGGGTCTAGAGGGAGTGGGTAGGTTGTGCAGCTACCTTCCTCCTCTCCCTGCTCCTGCTGAGTCTGTGCTTCTCTTCTGGTGCTTGCTTCCCCAGGGCTGTAGGGGCTGCACCTGGCCATGTTTACACCTGGGCATCCCTCCTGCAGCTCTGCTCTGTCCCTCAGGTGTAAAGGGTTTTGAGGTCACTGTGCTTGGCTGGCCTGGCTGAGCCTCGGGGCATACAGAGCCTTCTGTGGGGAATTTGCCTGTGTCCAACAAGATAAACCAAAAGGGTTGTGGGGGCAGCCATCCTGGTCCCCACCCCTGCTGGGCACAGTGCTGTGTGTGCAAGGCTGTTGGGCAGCCTCACCTCCTCTGGGCCTGGGGGGAGCAGAGCCAGGTGAGCAGGGCGGTGGGAACAGAGCCAGGTGAACAGGGCTGTGGGTACAGGGCCAGGTCTGCAGGGCCAGGTGTGCAGGGATGTGTGTACAGGGCTGGGTAAGCAAGGCTGAGTGAGCCGGGCTCAGGTGAGCAGGGAAGGTGTGCAGGGCCGGGTGTGCAGGGCTGAGGTGAGCAGGGCTGGGTGAGCTGGGCTCAGGTGAGCAGGGAGTGCAGGGCTCAGGTGTGCAGGGCTCGGGTGAGCAGAGCCGGGTGAGCAGGGCTGGGTGTGCAGGGCTGGGTAAGCAGGGCTGGGAGTGCAGGGCTGAGGTGAGCAGGGCTGGGTGTGCAGGGCTGAGGTGAGCAGGGCTGGGTGTGCAGGACTGGGTGTGCAGGGCTGGGATGCAAGGCTGGGTGAGCAGGGCTGGGTGTGCAGGGCCCGGGTGAGCAGGGCTGGGTGTGCAGGGCTGGGTGTGCAGGGCCCGGGTGAGCAGGGCCCGGGTGTGCAGGGCTGTGTGTGCAGGGCCCGGGTGAGCAGGGCTGGGTGTGCAGGTCTTAGATGAGCAGGACTGGGTGTGCAGGGCTCAGGTGTGTAGGGCTGGGTATGCAGGGCTCAGGTGAGCAGGGCTGTGTGTGCAGGGCTGTGTGTGCAGGGCCCGGGTGAGCAGGGCTGGGTGTGCAGGGCCCGGGTGAGCAGGGCTGGGTGTGCAGGGCTCAGGTGTGTAGGGCTGGGTATGCAGGGCTCAGGTGAGCAGGGCTGTGTGTGCAGGGCTGTGTGTGCAGGGCTCAGGTGTGTAGGGCTGGGTGTGCAGGGCTCAGGTGAGCAGGGCTGTGTGTGCAGGGCTCAGGTGTGTAGGGCTGGGTGTGCAGGGCCCAAGTGAGCAGGGCTGGGTGTGCAGGGCTTTGTGAGCAGGGCTGAGTGTGCAGGGCTGTGTGTGCAGGGCTGTGTGTGCAGGGCCCGGGTGAGCAGGACTGGGTGTGCAGGGCTCGGGTTAGCAGGGCTGGGTGTGCAGGGCTGGGTGTGCATAGCTGGGTGAGCAGGGCTGGGTGTGCAGGACTGGGTGTGCAGGGCTGGTGAGCAGGGCAGGGTGTGCAGGGCTGGGTGTGCAGGTCTTAGATGAGCAGGGCTGGGTGTGCAGGGCTCAGGTGAGCAGGACTGGGTGTGCAGGGCTCAGGTGAGCAGGGCTGGGTGTGCAGGGCTGGGTGTGCAGGGCTGGTGAGCAGGG